TGTTGTTCATCAATAACAACAACAACAACAACAACAACAACAACAACAACAGATGATACATAATACGACAGAATTCAAAGAGGGTGTACTTTCTTTTTCCCATGACTATATGCTCCCTAATTTTGTTCTCTCTCTCTCTCTGAGTAAAAGCTCATTTCATTACAACAGCAACAAAACAAAGATTTAGATAACTTTCTTCCTGTTGTACATGGTTGTAAAAGTTTTACAATTTCGCTTCTAAGTTTGTAATCTGCAGGCCAAGAAACCATATACCGTATTTTTTGCTCTATAAGACGCACCAGACCATAAGACGCACCTAGTTTTTGGAGGAGGAAAACAAGAAAAAAAATATTCTTAATCTCAGAACAACAAGAGGGATCACTGCACAGCGAAAGCAGCAATCCCTCTTGCTGTTCTGGCTTCTGGGATAGCTGCGCAGCCTGCATTCACTCCATAAGACGCACACACATTTCCCCTTACTTTTTAGGATGGAAAAAGTGAGTCTTATAGAGCAAAAAATACGGTAAATCCTTCCTTATAGCTCCCCAAAGTCTCTGCTCCTAACTCTCTCCTACTTCAACCTAACCAGGAAGATAATTTCCATTTTTAAAAAGCAAAACATGCATACTCTAGACCAGGGGTCAGCAAACTTTTTCAGCAGGGGGCCGGTCCACTATCCCTCAGACCTTGTGGGGGGCGGGACTATATATTTGGGGGTGGGGAATGAACGAATTCCTATGCCCCACAAATAACCCAGATATGCATTTTAAATAAAAGGACACATTCTACTCATGTAAAAACATGGTGATTCCTGGACCGTCTGTTGGCCAGATTTAGAAGGCAAGTGGGCTGGATCTGGCCCCCGGGCCTTAGTTTGCTTACCCATGCTCTATGGTATATTCCAAAGTGCCTCAGCACAGATTCTCAGGGCTCCTACTATTTTTTATGATTTGTTTAAAACCACAAGATTCCCTTAACTTCAGTATCAGGCTCAATCCACAGTGAACGGGGGGGGGGGCATGTTTTGTTCTTGCATTTACATCCTGCCATTTCTCCAGAGAGATCAAGGTCACGCATCACCACCATTTTATCCTCTCAACAACACTGTATACAGTACACGGTGGCTGCAATCCATACCACACATTGAAAGCACATGACTTTCCCAAAAGAATCCTAGTTTGCCACTCACAGATCTACCATTCCCAGCACCCTAAACCAGGCATCCCCAGCCTTCAGCCCTCCAGATGTTTTGGACTACAATTCCCATCATCCCTGACCACTGGTCCTGTCAGCTAGGGATCATGGGAGTTGTAGGCCAGGGGTCGGAAAGGTTTACCTTGCCTGGGCCAGTTCACTCCAGCGGAGATCTCTTCGTGGGCTGGATCGCACGCATGCGATTTCTGGCATCTGCACAGATGCGATTTCTGGTGCCTGAGCATGTGCAGACGCGATTTCTGACACTGTGGAAGCGAGTCCCTGTGCTGGTTTAGCGCAGCGCATGGGGACTTGCCGAGTGTGCGGCTCGGTTCGGGGTTGGCTCGTGGGCTAGTTAAACAACCCCCATGAGCCGCTTATGGCCCATGGGCCTTAGGTTGCCTACCCCTGTTGTAGGCCAAAACATCTGGAGGGCCGCAGGTTGGGAGTGCCTGCCCTAAACCAACTACAGTTCCCATAATTCATTGGGAGAAGTCATGTGCTTTAAATGTATGGGTTGGAATTCAGCATGGCACTAAGCGGGACACATGTGTGAGGTCGGCTTGCGCAATGGGACTTGCCCCATATCCTCCCCCAGCATGCCCGCCCCTCCGGCCTCCTAAACCTGTTCTGTGGTTTCCCTCAGTCTCCCCAGAGCAGATTTAGGGGGCACAGAGGTGTGCAGGGGAGAAGTCCCATTGCACCAGTGAACCTCAGTGTGCTCATGTAACAACTTACTTGAATCCCACTCATGGTGTCTGTGCAGTCACTGGGAGACAGCAAACAGGCTGACAGATAAGTGACTCTCGCAAGTTCACTCAGTGAGTTTCACAGCTGAGTGGAAATTTGAACCCTGGTCCTAATCCAACACTCTCCTAACAACTACTGCGTACCTCCAACATTTCTCAGATGAAAACAGGGACATTCTGTTCTACAACCAGAAGCTTCTCCCATGCTTGATCTCCCTCACACATGCGAGGGAAGGGATCGCGTACAACACCTTCAGCAGATAAATGGGATGAAATAAAATTTTAGCTGTAAATTGCCTTGAGTCCCTGTCAGGGGGAAAAGGCAGGATATAGTAATACTAATAATAACGGAAACTGTGAGAATGACCAGGAACATACCAAAGAGTAAACTCAGTGGGTCTTAGTTTTGAGTAAAAATGCTTAGGATTGCAGTGTAAGGCTGTACAGTGGTACCTCGGGTTAAGAACTTAATTTGTTCTGGAGGTCTGTTCTTAACCTGAAACTGTTCTTAATCTGAGGTACCACTTTAGCTAATGGGGCCTCCCGCTGCCGCTGCGCCGCCACCGCGTGATTTCTGTTCTCATCCTGAAGCAAAGTTCTTAAGCCGAGGTACTATTTCTGGGTTAGCAGAGTCTGTAACCTGAAGCATCTGTAACCTGAAGCATCTGTAACCCAAGTTACCACTGTACAGTCTTTACCCAGTTATCTGGGAGTAAGCTCCATTGAATATAGTGGGATTTACTTCTGAGTAGACATATAAGGGCTTGCGGTGTAAGGCTCAATTTACAATAAAGGAATAAACACACCACGTGTTCCCTAAAAAAAATAAATGGCTGGCTGCTGAAGCATTGCAATTAAATAATTTTAAATGGATTGGTGACATTTTCCTTCAAAATTATGTATAGGAAGGGCTTCCTTTGCCAGCTTCACCTTTCCTTTATTAGGTGCATTTTATTTTCAGTATGCGGGATGCAGGTGGTGCTGTGGGTTAAACCACAGAGCCTAGGGCTTGCCGATCAGAAGGCTGGCGGTTCGAATCCCCACAACGGAGTAAGCTCCCATTGCTCGGTCCCTGCTGCTGCCAACCTAGCAGTTCGAAAGCACGTCAAAGTGCAAGTAGATAAACAGGCACCGCTCTGGTGGGAAGGTAAACAGCGTTTCCGTGCACTGCTCTGGTTCGCCAGAAGCGGCTTAGTCATGCTGGCCACATGACCCGGAAGCTGTACGCCAGCTCCCTTCGCCTATAGAGCGAGATGAGCGCCGCAACCCCAGAGTTGTCCGCGACTGGACCTAATGGTCAGGGGTCCCTTTACCTTTACCTTATTTTCAGTATAATCAGGACTTCGTTTTTGCACCACACACACACACAACCCCACACAGAGCAAAGGCTTCTGTTTCCAAAAAGAATGTGTGTGCATGTTTCTGTTCTCTCCACCACTTTTGATTGTTCTCAGAGATATAGAAAGGAGGAAAAATGAAAACCAGGACATTCTGGGATCAAATCAGTAACCTGGATGGCTTCTGTCCCTGGAAAATCAGGACACTGCTGCTTCATACTGAACCAGGGTGCAAAAGGGAAAACAAGTGAGTCTACTTAGTTGGCGGAGTCTGTGGCAACATTTGCTTTGAGATGCCTGAATTCAGAGATCTCTGCTTCCAGGCTTTCAGGCCTATAGAATGAGGAACTGTATCCTGGAGAGCAATGACGCAGAAAAAGGAAGCAGATATTTTATGGAACAAGTATGACATCAATATATTTGCTAAGTGTGGCAAGAAAAACTAGCTTTTCAGCTAGTTCAGGTACAGAGAGCAAATAACACAAGAATTTTCATCTCCTTCCCCCACCTCAACAAACGGGGAAACGGGGACATCTTAGGACTTGTAAAACTAAACAGTTACTCAAGAGTTAGAACAGAAGTAGCTTTAAGCACAGGGAAAGCATCTTTACATCTCATTATTTTGAGCTAGCATTGAAAGATATGGGACTGATTTGTAATGGATGAACTTACCAAAGCAAATAATTTTCTTCAGGGTAAAGCCAAAACACAAATATTTTCTAGGTTGCTCTGTATCTATTGTTGTAAACAAAAATTGCCCTTTTCCCTTATGGGGTATCCAAGAGCCCATATAGAGTCCTTACATAGGTTCCCTATTGGTAGGAGAGAATAACAGAGGCCAACCAGAGAATATTGAGAAGCAAAGCAGCTAGTAAGCTTGATCTTTATTGAACTGTTGCAACAGGGTGCTCCCCTCACCCGCAGGACGTTTTGGAACTTGAATGCCATAAACCCAGAAGTAATTGCTTCGGTTTTCGAACGCGCCTTGGAAGTTCAACCAGAAACGCGACTTCTTTACTGAGTTTTCCGTATTGACATTTCCATTTTGAGTTTTCGGTGAACGAACGTTTCGGAACTCAAACAGTCTTCCGGAACGAATTACATTCGAAAACTGAGGTACCACCGTATATCTTTTTTGTTTGCTAAGTGATATTATATGTTGCTATGTATTCATGAAAACTTCTCGGTATTGACGAAGAGTTTTAAAAAAGGAGTTAGGGCAACATGAGCTAGAAAGAGCATGGGAGGGGAGAGGAGAGAAGAGAAAGATAACGTTTTTGTTGCCATGGGAACAGCCAAAAATACACATGAGCCTTGAGCCTTATTCACTTATTTACTCCACACATAAGAGGAGCCTGCTGTTTCAGGCCAGTGGTCCATCCACTGCAGCATCCTGTTCTCACAGGGGCCAACAATATTCCTGTGGGAAGCCCTCAAGCATAGTGTTGCCATACATCAAGGAATTCCCAGACATGCCCTCTTTTGGGAGTCCTGTGGTTTCTTTTTATTATTATTATTATTATTTTATTCAAAATTATAACAAGACACATTATCCAAAAACATATCATCCTTGTCCCCCCCCCATTTTTCCTCCCTCCCCCCTCCCACACAAACCCCTCCCCCCGACTTCCCTCAGTTCCAGTCTTTGGTTTCTCTAAGAATGCTGTTTTCTGCATGTTATAAATTTCTATACATCCTCAAACTATTTAGCTGGTTATTATCAATAAAAAGTTTGTGAATGTTTATTCAAAACCTTCCAAGGAGTCGGTTCCCATTCATCCTTAAAGTCACAGTTATCCTTGTCCCGTAGCTTGTATGTCAGTTTTGCCAGTTCTGCATAGTCCATCAATTTTTCTTGCCATGATTCTTTATTTGGGGTTTCTTCAGTCTTCCATCCTTGTGCTACCAGAACTCTTGCGGCCGTTGTTGCATACATGAAGATGTTTTTCAACTTTTTTGGCAGGTCTTTCCCTACAATCCCCAACAAAAATGCCTCGGGTTTTTTAACAAATGTTAAATGGAACATTTTCTTCAATTCGTTGTATATCATTTCCCAATTTTTAAAAATTACCTTACAATCCCACCACATGTGATAAAATGTCCCCTCCTTTTCCTTCCACTTCCAACATATATTTGAACTATATATTCGCTTCGGCAGCACATATACTAAAAAAAAAATGGAACGATACAGAGATTAGCATGGGAGTCCTGCGGTTTCCATCAACTGGCATTCAGAATCATACTGCCAACAGTGAAGGACAGGCAGGGAGAGGAGGTGCAATATACTGCCAGCTCAAAAAGTTTGAAACTGGTATCGCAGCTGAACTTCAATTTAAATGCCGGCCAGCTCTAGTGGCAACTCCAACAAACACACTTAAATTCCTGATACTATTTGATCTACTTTCTGGGAAGAGTACATATGTGCCAGATATAGTGAGGTTGGTGCTGTGAGCTTTTACTGAATCCAGAAACTATGCGGCCCACAAGCATCGTTCAGGAAGCTGGCAGCTCACAAGGAAAATATTAACAGCACTGGTAGCTCTCGGATATTAAATTATTTTACACCCAGATCCAGGGGAGTCTGTGGCCCCAAGCCACACCTGGGACAGGTGTGTCATTTAATAATTTATAGATCCAGCAAATAGGATATGAAAAATTGATGGGGAAAGAAAAGAGGCCATGGGTCATATTTTACTGGTTTCAGAACCATTTCCTGCTTCTTCTTAAAAGAAGAAACAGCTACACCCACCCAAATCACTGAGTTAAACAAATCTCCCCCCCTTTATATATTTTTATTGAATTTAACATAATTATAAAATGTACCACAAAACTTATCACTTATACAATCTTTTTAGACTTCAATCAGCACCTCTGATGATCCACCGTTTTAACCACTTCTTATGCATTTCTTAACTTTATATTGCCTTTACATCTCTTAACAAATCATCCTTCCCCTTCTCCATTTGTGCAATACTTCCAATAATACTCCTCACAAAACTTCTTGCAAACCTATAAACGTTGTCTGATCTTCACAAATACTTTTCAAGTAGTCTGTAAATTTACTCCAGTCTTCCGTGAATTTCTGGTCCCGCCGGTTTCGAATCCTTCCTGTTAGTGAGTTAAACAAATCTTAATTGGCAGCATAAGTTGCACGGCTATGCTAGGCCAGATCGGGTGATGCTTCCTATGCAACTGGGCTCATCACAAAGAGCACAGCATGAGCAGACCTCCCAACTCCAGTGACAGAGCACACAACTGTCCTGATTTTCCCGAGACATTCCAGAATTACAGAAGCCATCCCACCTTCTGATTGGATTCCGGAATATCCCTTTTCCCCTCTCTACTGAGCTCAGCAGTGAGGATGAACTTGCAGCCAGCGCTGTTGCTTGCAGTGGTGCCCTGATTATGCAACTGGTTTCCGCAAGAGTGCGACACCAAACCATGTGCATCCCGATTTTGTTCAACGGAATATTGGAGGGTTTGCACAGGCTCTGCCTCTGCTTATCTATCCCTACTGGAATGGAAAGCTGTGGATGTTCCACTATCTATTAAACCAAACATATACAGGCTGTAATGTATGTATTATCAATTAAATATCTACTATGTGGTCCTTTTAAGAGAAACAGGTTTGACCCAGCTCCTAGAGAGCCAACTCAGAGGTGTGGCATGGTTGGAGAGGTTAGTTTGTGCAGGCTTAATTTAACATTAGACTACAATACGGCTTAATTTACTGTTAGCTCAGCTTGTAGCGTGCTTATTCAAAACAGCAGAAAAGAAGACCCAGGCCAGAATTGCACACTCAAGTTACTTGATCAGTAAAACTGTACTTCACAATTTTGACCTACATGGGCTAGATGTAATTCACAGAGGTCATATGCAGGTATCTCAAGGTTCTGTGGAGAGAACAGCTGTCACGATTATGCCATGCCACAACTGAATGATTAAAATAAGTACCATATTACAGTGGTACCTCGGGTTAAGAACTTAATTCGTTCAGGAGGTCCGTTCTTAACCAGAAACTGTTCTTAACCTGAAGCACCACTTTAGCTAATGGGGCCTCCTGCTGCTGCCACGCTGCCAGAGCACAATTTCTTTTCTCATCCTGAAGCAAAGTTCTTAACCCGAGGTACTATTTCTGGGTTAGTGGAGTCTGTAACCTGAAGCGTCTGTAACCCACTGTACTATTATTAATATATTTTCATTATCTCCGACGCAAGGGAATTCTTGGGAGATGTGAAACAGATATAGCAAACAGGCCTGGAGCCCAGTGATCCCTGTTTTGAAGAGAAACCCCTCCTTCAATATATAAGAAAATGGTAGCAACCCAAGCCAAACAATATAGTGTAAACTTTCCCAGACCATGAGCAGGGTGACTCACCTTGTGAGGTCCCATGTCGGGTACAAGTAGAGTGTAGAGTCCTGTTTGCTACAGGTCCGCCACTCCCAATAATTCCCTTGCATCAGACATAATGAAAATATATTATTAATTGTAATATTGTACTTATTTTGATGATTCTGGAGTACCACTTGCATGTGCTGCATGTCTTTTAATAGCGGGTACATTGTGACATTGGGATGTGGGTGGCACTGTGGGTTAAACCACTGAGCTGATCAGACTTGCTGATCAGAAGGTCGGCGGTTCGAATCCCCGTGATGGGGTGAGCTCCCGTTGCTCGGTCCCTGCTCCTGCCCACCTGGCAGCTCAAAAGCACGTCAAAGTGCAAATAGATAAATAGGTACCGCTCCAGCGGGAAGGTAACGGTGTTTCCGTTCGCTGCTCTGGTTTTGCCAGAAGCGGCTTAGTCATGCTGGCCACATGACCCGGATAGGCAATAAAGTGAGATGAGCGCTGCAACCCCAGAGTCGGCCACGACTGGACCTAATGGTCGGGGTCCCTTTACCTTTACATTGCGACAAAAACATTCATTGCACTTTGCTTGCCATATATTGTGTCTTTGTCAAAAAGGTAAAGCACCCCTGGATGGTTAACTCCAGTCAAAGGTGGCTACAGTCGTACCTCGGAAGTTGAACGGAATCTGTTCCGGTTCCAAAACATTCAGAAACCAAGGCATGGCTTCCAATTGGTTGCCGATTGTGCAGGCGCGCTAGAAACAATAGTGGAAGCTGCGCTGGATGTTCAGCTTCCAAAAAAAGTTTTAAAACCGAACACTCACTTCCGGTTTTTGATCGTCCAGGAGCCGTAACGTTCGACTTCCAAGGCATTTGGCAGCCGAGGTACGACTGTATGGGGTTGCGGCACTCATCTCGCTTTCAAGCCGAGGGAGCCGGCGTTTGTCCACAGACAGCTTTCCAGGTCATGTGGCCAGCATGACTAAACTGCTTCTGGCGCAACGGAACACCATGGCAGAAACCTGAGCACACGGAAACGCCTTTTGGACCACAGCACCACCCGCCACCCATTGAGCCTCTTGGGCTTGCCGATCAGGAGGTTGGTGGTTTGAATCCCTGCAACGGATTGAGCTCCTGTTGCTCTGTCCCAGCTCCTGCCATCCTAGCAGTTTGAAAGCACACCAGTGCAAGTAGATAAATAGATATCACTGCAGCAGGAAGGTATACAGCATTTCTGTGCACTCTGGTTTCCATCACAGTGTTCCATTGCACCAGAAGCAGTTTAGTCCTGCTGCCCACATGACCCGGAAAGCTGTCTGTGGACAAACACTGGCTCCTTCGGCCTGAAAGTGAGATGAGCACTGCAACACCATAGTCGCCTTTGACTGGACTTAACTGTCCAGAGGTCCTTTACCTTTTACTTGTGTCTTTCTATGCTGGCCTGTTTTTTCCTGTTGGTGTATGTTCCTATACAGTGGGTTCCTTATTTTTCTGTTTACAGCTGAATAATTGGGCAAAAGGTGTTGCCTGACGCATTTTCTCACACCACCCCATTCTGATTCTCAACATGGTACACCAAAATTGTTATTATTCATTAAATTGGTTAGCTGCTTTTTCTTGCCATGCCAACTCAAAGCGACTTTCAACCAAATTCAAACAGAACCATCTGGGAATTGCAATTACTTTAGTGAGGGAGTAAAGGCTTCTATCATAATTGTTCAGGGTTGCACAATAAGGTTTACGTACACTATAGGCAGTTCTCAACTGAACTTTAAATTCAACTCAGCCCACAGAGCAGCAAGGCTTTGACAATGACAAAGCCCCCAGGCCATGGCAACAGCACAGCATTGACTGGGACACAAGCCACATTTAAATTTCCATTCCATCGATTAATAATGTTGGAAATAGAAGCTTTCTTCCAAAGCTGAGGCAAAAGCCAGCCTAATACCCCTACAAACTGTTTTTGAATTTTACATTTGCTGCTTCAGATGAAAAACTAGTCTGCCTGAAGATTTACAATTTTATATGTTTTTCAGCATCTTTGGAAATATTAAGAATGATGGACCCAAACAAATATAGACAATAATTTCAGAATAAGCTTAATAATAATAGTCATGGGCTCTACTTAGAACGGAACACAAATCATAGAATTGGAAGGGAGCAAAAGGATAATCTAGTTCAGGCATGGCCAAACTTGGCCCTCCAGCTGTTTTGGGACTACAACTCCCATCATCCCTAGCTAACTGGACCAGTGGTCAGGGATGATGGGAATTGTAGTCCCAAAACAGCTGGAGGGCCAAGTTTGGCTATGCTTGATAATAATAATAATAATAATAATAATAATAATAATAATAATTTATTATTTGTATCCCGCCCATCTGGCTGGGTTTCCCCAGCCACTCTGGGCGGCTTCCATAGAAACCAAAAATACACTAAAATATCACAGATTAAAAACTTCACTGAACAGGGCTGCCTTAAGATGTCTTCTGAATGTCAGGTAGTTATTTATCGCTTTGACATCTGATGGGAGGGCGTTCCACAGGGCGGGCGCCACTACCGAGAAGGCCCTCTGCCTGGTTCCCTGTAGCTTTGCTTCTCGCAATGAGGGAACCGCCAGAAGGCCCTCGGCGCTGGACCTCAGTGTCCGGGCAGAACAATGGGGGTGGAGATGCTCCTTCAGGTATACTGGGCCGAGGCCGTTTAGGGCTTTAAAGGTCAACACCAGCACTTTGAATTGTGCTCGGAAACGTACTGGGAGCCAATGTAGGTCTTTCAAGACCGGTGTTATGTGGTCTCGGCGGCCGCCCCCAGTCACCAGTCTAGCTGCCGCATTCTGGATTAGTTGTAGTTTCCGAGTCACCTTCAAAGGTAGCCCCACGTAGAGCGCATTGCAGTAGTCCAAGCGAGAGATAACCAGAGCATGCACCACTCTGGCGAGACAGTCCGCGGGCAGGTAGGGTCTCAGCCTGCGTACCAGGTGGAGTTGGTAGACAGCTGCCCTGGATACAGATTTGACCTGCACCTCCATGGACAGCTGTGAGTCCAAAATGACTCCCAGGCTGCGCACCTGGTCCTTCAGGGGCACAGTTACCCTATTCAGGACCAGGGAGTCCTCTACACCAGCCCGCCCCCTGTCCCCCCAAAACAGTACTTCTGTCTTGTCAGGATTCAACTTCAATCCATTAGCCGCCATCCATCCTCCAACCGCCTCCAGGCACTCACACAGGACCTTCACCGCCTTCACTGGTTCTGATTTGAAAGAGAAGTAGAGCTGGGTATCATCTGCATATTGATGGACACCCAGTCCAAACCCCCTGATGATCTCTCCCAGCGGCTTCATATAGATGTTAAAAAGCATGGGGAGAGGACGGAACCCTGAGGCACCCCACAAGTGAGGGCCCAGGGGTCTGAACACTCATCCCCCCCACCACTTTCTGAACACGGCCCAGGAGGAAGGAGCGAAACCACTGTATAACAGTGCCCCCAGCTCCCAGCCCCTCTAGATGGTCCAGAAGGATGTTATGGTTGATTGTATCAAAGGCCGCTGAGAGATCCAGCAGAACTAGGAAACAACTCTCACCTTTGTCCCTAGCTCGCCGGAGATCATCAACCAGCGCGACCAAGGCAGTTTCAGTCCCATGATGAGGCCTGAATCCCGACTGGAAGGGATCCAAATGGTCCGCATCCTCCAGGCGTGCCTGGAGTTGTTCAGCAACCACGTGCTCAATCACCTTGCCCAAGAATGGAAGATTTGAGACTGGGCGATAGTTGGCCATACTGGCCAGGTCTAAAGATGGTTTTTTAGGAGCGGTTTAATGACCGCCTCTTTCAGCGGATCTGGGAATGTTCCCTCACAGAGGGAAGCATTCACCACCCCGCAGAGCCCATCGCCCAGCCCTTCCCGGCTTGCTTTTATTAGCCAGGATGGGCAAGGATCAAGGAGACAGGTGGTTGGTTTCACGCGTCCAAGCAGCCTGTCCACATCCTCGGGGGTAATGGATTGAAATTGATTCCATGCAACTTGACCAGACAGGGCTCTAGCACTCTCCCGCCCCAGCCCTGCTCCCACGGTGGTGTCTAACTCCTTCCGAATATGAGTGATTTTACCTGCAAAAAACTTTGCAAAATCATTGCAGGAGATCTTGGGGTCTTTACAAGGCCCCGGTGGTAAAGGTGGTTCCGTTAAATTGCAAACCACCTGAAAGAGTCTCCTGCTACTATTTTCTGCAGATGCAATAGAGGCGGTGAAGAAAGTCTTCTTCGCCATCGCTATCGCCACTTGGTAGGCTCGACGTTGAGCTCTAACCTGTGTCCGGTCAGATTTGGAGTGAGTTTTCTGCCACCGACGCTCTAGCCGTCTCAGCGATTGTTTCATCGCCCTCAGCTCCGAAGAAAACCACGGGGCTGTCCGGGCTCCATGCAATTGGAGAGGGCGCTTCGGAGCCAGACAGTCGATAGCCCTGGTTAACTCCGCATTCCAGCGGGCCACCAGGGAATCAGCTGAAAGGCCAAACTATACAGAACCAATAAAACAACAACAACAACGAAGGAACAGAACAATTATACTAAAATTAATCCCCAATCAAATATCCATTCCACCCACCCACCCTTGATCTAGTCTAACCCCCTGCAATGCAAGAATCTTTTGCCCACCGTGGGGCTCAAACCCACAACCCTGAGATTGAGTCTCGTGCTTTACCAACAAAGCTATACTGGACTACGCTGAACATCTAGGAGGGTTTTACATGTACCCCTGTGGGGTTGGCCAGGTTTTCATACTATACAGTACCTTATTTACTGGTAAACAGTAAGCAAACTAGAAGTCTGCTGTTTTAAGCCCCATGTTTTCACAAAGCAAGAATCTTTTCTCAAATTGTTGTCTAATGTCTGTCTCCGGTGCTGTTCTCCAACTACAGTACAGTGGTACCTCGGGTTACATACACTTCAGGTTACAGACTCTGCTAACCCAGAAATAGTGCTTCAGGTTAAGAACTTTGCTTCAGGATGAGAACAGAAATCGTGCTCCGGTGGCACGGCGGCAGCCGGAGGCCCCATTAGCTAAAGTGGTGCTTCAGGTTAAGAACAGTTTCAGGTTAAGTACGGACCCCCGGAACAAATTAAGTACTTAACCCGAGTTACCACTGTACTGGCTTTCCAAAAGGTCAGCACATGCAGAAATGTCTATGTTGTCCTGAATCGATGTTACATATTTTTCTCTTTATTGGGGAAACCCAGCCAGATGGGCAGGGTATTATTATTATTATTATTATTATTATTATTATTGCAGTAGTTCAGATGTACATTGCTATGATGCTTATAATGTACATGCCAGAAACAAGAGACAATGCATTGTTTTCCCCCTTTCCTCCCTTTCTTTAGATTTTTCTCTCTTCTTTCTTGCCATGTGCTTGATGCTGCTTTTTCGTGATGTCACTGTTTAAAAACCAAACACTTAGTTTTTAAATTTATATTTTAGTATCAAAGCAAAGGCATATATCTCTGTTTCCCCCTACTTTATCATGGAAGGATTTTAGGATTAAATGGTATTCTATCAACTTTTAAATCACAAGTTTTAGAAGTTTTAGAAACCTTCTCTGAAGCAGGGGAAGAGCAGCGGAAAAGAATTACCGTAAGCAGGTAACGTACTGAGATTATCAGCTCAGGATCAGGGTGATCATAACTCTGTGTCATTAAGAGCCCTCCAGCGACTTTGTGTCCCTGACTGCTCTCTCTTAAGTATCTCTTCCTAACACAACCTTGCTGCAACCAGTCCATCTCAGGTTGCAGGATCGCTCCGAGAATTGTGCCTGGATAGCTGTTCGATACAAAACTGAGACTCTCCAACAACTTCTGCTGCTATCTCCTGTGGGAATTTTAGGAATGCAAGAAAGGATAAGTAATGAAAAAGCCATCTCACCAACAGGTAGTTCAGAGGGGTCTCCCTGTCTAGCTGCCTCTACAATTTTCCTCGTTTACACCACTACTTTCTAGTCACCTGCTCTCAAATTTATTTGATAAATCCAAATCAGCATGTGCAAACAACCTGCATATGCTATTTATGGCAAAGGAGTTCCCTCTGCTGGCTGATCCAGAAATAATCCTCAAATTTACTAACTGAAAAGCATTAAGTCAGTCTCATTTCCTGTACTGGAACTTCCCAGTTGCTGGGTTGGGCTGCATCTTCTTTTGTTGTTCTTGTTTAGTTGTTTAGTCGTGTCCAACTCTCTCATGCTGGTAGCCTCAAGAACACTATCCAACCATCTCGTCCTCTGTCGTCCCCTTCTCCTTGTGCCCTCCATCTTTCCCAACATCAGGGTCTTTTCCAGGGAGTCTTCGCTTCTCATGAGGTGGCCAAAGTATTGGAGCCTCAGCTTCAGGATCTGTCCTTCCAGTGAGCACTCAGGGCTGATTTCCTTAAGAATGGAGAGGTTTGATCTTCTTCTTTAGCAGCTTCTCAATCTGCCACCCTGTCTTCTTCCTACCCTCTTCTGGCTGCTGTTCCTTATCTCTTTTGCGTGAGGCTTTGTCAGGATCCAGTTTGTAAATAAGTTTGTTGAAGGAAGGAGCTTGGATAGCTTAGCAGTCAGTGGTGGCCAAACTCGGCCCTCCAGATGTTTCGGGACTACAACTCCCATCATCCCTAGCTAACAGAATCAGTGGTCAGGGATGATAGGAATTGTAGTCCCAAAACATCTGGAGGGCCGAATTTGGCCACCGCTGCTGTTTAGAGCATGGTGCTGATAATGCCAAGGTTGCAGGTTCGATCCCTGTATGGGACAGCAGCATATTCGGTTGGGTTATATGATAATCAGGGTCCCTTCTAACTCTACAATTCTAAGATATAATAATAATAATAATAATAATAATAATAATAATAATAATTTATTTATACTCCGCTCATCTGGCTGAGTTTCCCCAGCCATTTCCCCACATTAGACTTGGAGACTTGCTTTTGATCAAACTCAACTTTTAACTCTTATCAATCAATGGAAATTCTGAACTGCACCCTTTCAAGATTTTACCAGATGCTGTTCAATGGAGCTTCAGATCTATTTTCCCCAATCATAAGGACTAAAACCTTCCTGTAAAAACTTAACTGTAAATGAGAGAAAGAAATTTCAGGAAGAGACAGGACTAACATTGGTTAAGAAAGTGAAATATCTAGGGGTTAATATGACTGCTAAAAATGTAAATTTATTTAAGGATAATTATGAAAAATGTTGGATTGAAGTGAAAAAAGACTTAGAAATATGGTCAAATTTGAAGTTATCATTATTAGGCCGAATTGCTGTGATAAAAATGAATGTGCTGCCAAGGATGTTGTTCTTGTTTCAAACATTACAAATTTTGGATAAGATGGATTGTTTTAAGAAGTGGCAGAAAGATATTTCCAGATTTGTCTGGCAGGGCAAGAAGCCTCGAATAAAATTTAAGATATTAACTGATGCTAAAGAAAGAGGTGGATTAGCCCTGCCAGACCTAAAACTCTATTATGAATCAGCTGCTTTTTGTTGGCTGAGAGAATGGCTGCTACTTGAAGACACTGATGTGTTGGACCCAGAAGGTTTTAACAACATATTTGGTTGGCATGCATATTTGTGGTATGATAAGGTAAAAGCACATAAAGCGTTTAAAAATCATATTGTTAGAAAAGCATTGTTTAATGTATGGATAAGATATAAAGATTGGTTAGAAAAGAAAACCCCAAGATGGTTGTCACCAATGGAAGTGAAGGCACAGAAAAAACTCAATATGGAGGCCAAATGGCCGAAATATTGGGAAATTCTGGAACAAGAGGGAGACAGACTAAAATTGCAGAGCTTTGAAAAATTGAAAAATAAAGTGCGAGATTGGCTCCATTATTATCAAATAAGTTGGTTTCCAGGTGGAAAAATCAAAATTGGAAACAGAACTGTTATACTCCAAAATCAAGAATTTGTCAAAAATGTATAACTTGCTGTTGAAATGGAACACCCAGGATGAAACGGTGAAATTAAATGGGCACAAGATGTCGGACATAATATAATGATGGCTGACTGGGAACAGTTATGAAATTTACGGCATGTAATGCCCTAAGAGAAAACTTAATGAAAATGATTTATAGGTGGTACATGACACCAGTCAAGCTTGCAAAAATGTACCATTTGCCCGAAAATAAATGTTGGAAATGTAATGAGACTGAAGGCACATTCTTTCACCTTTGGTGGACATGCCCAAGGATTAAGACATTCTGGGAGATGATTTATAATGAAATGAAAAAGGTATTTAAATATACCTTTCTGAAGAAACCAGAGGCCTTTCTCCTGGGCATGGTCGGCCAATTGGTGCCAAAGAAGGATACAACTTTTTTTATGTATGCTACAACAGCAGCAAGAATACTCATCGCGAAGTATTGGAAGACACAATATTTACCCACCCAGGAAGAATGGCAGATGAAGTTGATGGACTATATGGAACTGGCGGAAATGACTGGCAGAATCCGAGACCAGGGAGAAGAGTCGGTGGAAGAAGATTGGAAAAAGTTTAAAGACTATTTACAGAAATATTGTAAAATTAATGAATGTTAGAAAAATGTTGGAATGAAGTTATATGGCTTCAGTAGAAATGTTATAAGGAATTAAGTATAAATAGATTAATAGAGAATTAAAGGGAAAAATAAGGTTAAAATGTGTTAAGATAATTATAGGATAGAAAGCAGAGGAAGATGGAAAGGAATTGCTGAAACAACTAATAGAAGTGGAATACAAAAAGGGAGGTGTGAGGAGGTCATGGAAATAAGTGAATGAAAGATTGAAATTATTTGATGTGTTTTAAATTGTTTTTGTTTTGTTTTCTTAGTTTAAATTGTTTTTGTTAGTTTAGTGTTAGGTATTGTTTTTGTATTGTATTGTATTGTATTGTATTGTATTGTTTATTTTCTTTTTCTATGTATGTTCAAATTGTTGGAAAGTAATAAATATTATTATTATTTTTTTAAATAAAACCTTTCTGTAAAAAAGCACGTAAGTACATTAATTGTTTTTAGTATACCTGGGTAAAAAAAAGGTAAAGGATCCCTGGACAGTTAAATCCAGTCAAAGGCGACTATGGGGTTGTGGCGCTCATCTCGCTTTTAGGCCGAGGGAGCCGGCGTTTGTCCACAGACAGCTTTCCAGGTTATATGGCCAGCAGGACTAAACTGCTTCTGGCAGAACAGGGCATCATGACAGAAACTAGAGCGCACCGAAATGCCGTTTACCTTTCTGCCGCAGTGGTACCTATTTATCTACTTGCACTGGTGTGCTTTCGAACTGCTAGGTTGGCAGGAGCTGGGACAGAGCAACAGGAGCTCACCCTGTTGCGTGGATTCAAACTGCCGACCTTCTGATCAGCAAGACCAAGAGCTTCAGTGGTTTAGACCAGAGCACCACCCGTGTCCCTTTTCAGTATACATACACATGGCTGTACCAGTCAAAATTATGGCAGCTATATATATTGTACCAATTGAAGTTTCTTGATAATCTTCCATGGCAGCGTTGCCATATACAATGATCAGCAGTAACCTGGGTCTTGGTCCAGTTCATTCATGACTTGAAGGAGAATGCCAGGAAGATAAGGTGAGTGTCACATGGAACTGTTACCTGGCTGGTATATGGAAACTCCTGGTTCAGAGATGGTATGCCTCTGAATACCATTGCCAATGAACAGCAAAGGAAGGTGGCTGTTGCTAACCCACCCAGCTTGAGGCATCTGATTGGCCGCTGCAGAGGCATTGTCTGGCCTTTGTGATGCAAACTCCCATAAGTGGCTGTTGCCTTGAGGCCAGAGATAGCTCAGTTGGTAAAGCATCAGGGTTGTGGGTTTGAGTCCAAGGTTGGGCAAAAGATTTCTGCATTGCAGGGGGTTGGACTAGATGACCCTCGTGGTCTCTTCCAACTCTACAATTCTATGATTTAGGCCTGGAAAATAACTAGGACACAAAGCTGGGGCTATTTAGAGTAACTCAAGAGCTGGCATAAATGTCTCCCTTGCAATTCCTTTCCATTGGAAGCTATTTGAAAATCTCCCCAGGGACAGATGTAAGAACTGCCCAAGGTAATGCCAAATTTAATAATAATAATAATAGCAACAATAACAATAACAATAGTAATAATTTATTATTTGTACCCCGCCCATCTGGCTGGGTTTCCCCAGCCACTCTGGGCAGCTTCCACAAAGACCAATGTGTTATTTCCACAAAAGGGAAAGGAATTTTTATGTGTACTTGTTTTTTATGTTTAATGCATAGTGTCTTATTGCTTACACCCCTATGGAGGATTCTCATGCTCTCTAATGGATCAGGCTATTGTGTAGTCCACTATTTAGATTAGATCACTTTATAACCACTTTTTGTTGTCCGAACTGGCACTCTGCCAACCTTCCCTACCTATTTTTAAAATGTGCTAAAACCTCGTTTTACCAAGGACAGGCTTCTGGATCCATAACACCACCAGATACATGAAGGTGTATATGCTTTGGTTTAGCAGGAATGATCCCTTATAGAGTTAAGTTGATTTATCTGGACAAGTGCCCTTTTAAAGAATGGTCTTTTTTTAACAGATTTGATTTGGAAAGTTGGGAACCATGGGCATATATAAATTCAAATTGGACTCAGTTTGAATTGGGCAAGTGTATCCAGGCTGCAATTAGCTTTTTGGTCCTTTAAGAGCAAGTGAACAATTTCCCATGAGTGCAAGACCAGAGCCTATAATAATAAAATCCCATAGAAAGGCCAAGGCAAAGACATCTCTCTCATGACATGTCCAAACCTGCGCTAGCTATGGTAAGGGCCAGACAAGGCATGGTCGAATGAAAGCCCTTAGGGGATTCACCAGGGACTGTCGCTGCTGTAGCACTATGATGGTATAAGACCAGAGGAGAGCTAGCTTGCCACCTGAGAACACACAAAAACGGCGGAGGGCAAAGCAAACTGCATTTTTCAATCGTTAGTGGACCTTCCAGCTAAGTGTAAAGCATAGACCACTACTGAGTAAATGTTTTTCCCAAGGTATTGGAATGCCACATTTACTCAGTAGTGGTCTATGCTTTACACTTAGCTGAAAGGAGAGTTCCGTCAGGAGGACAAGGCTGGCATTGATTGAACAGGCTCAAATGTTTATTATTCAAGGTTGTAAAGAGATAAGCAGACTCAGGAATGCACATTGCCGTGGCGTGGTGGGGCTGGTGGGGCCATTGCAGGAAGGAGGGGGGGCAAGCCCATGTAAGGACATAGGAACTTGATATAACTTTTGATTTCCCAGAAATCAGGTGGTATTGTATTCTGCAAATGTATAAAAGTGGGCGCACCCTGACTAGGGTATGCAGATTGCGAGCTGAACGCGCTGTGCCTTTGTCCTGCATATGCATTTCAAATAAATACTGTTGAATCCTGCAAGGTTGTTTGCCACTTCGTGTGAATCTGTGCTCCAGGGACCCAATAGCAGATATGGAAAATGTCCAACACCAAGACCTCCCTTAAAGCAGTAGTGGATCCCCAGATGGATTTCGCCAATGGAAGAACAAGCCCCAAAAAAGTTAAATATGGAAAATAAATGGTTGAGATACTCAGACGTACTGATTGAGGATCAGGAAGGTATTAAGTTAAAACCGTTTGATCAAATTAAAGATAAAGTGAATTGGCTTCAATATTACCAAATTAATGAATTATTTAAGATTGACAAGAAAAATGGTTTTGCAACAGAAAAAACCAAATTGGAATCCTGATGTGCAATTTGTGGAATTTCAACAACAACAACACAACAAAATACTTAATAAAAACAAGAACAGAATGAAACCAAACCAATCCCTACCCCTAATTAGGTATTATCTAGATAAAAAGCAAAAACTAAAGGACACAACTAATTTAAATCCATTCATTCCAATAGGCTTACTCTTAGTAGAATCTCACTGCTTTGTCACTACAACTCCTTGCATTATAGTGTTTGGGTAATTTTAAAAAAAGAGACATATTTGTTCTGAAATCCACTGGGGAGGCATGTGTTGTTGTTATTTTAAGAACCCAAATAATAATCTTGTTTCTTTTGATTTTTCCATAATATCTATTCTTTCCTTGCACAATTAACTTATCCTCCCAACTATTTTCATCATATAAAAATAAATTATCTCCTTAATCTCGTAAATTCCAATTATGGGTGGGTGGGTTGGTTGGTTGGTTGGTTGGTTGGTTAGTTCTTCAAGGAAATTTTGAAGCTGGGGTGTGTGTGTGCAGGAGGAAGTTGGGTGGAAAAAGTGCTGAGGCCCCCTTAAATGAAGAGAGAGAGAGAGAGAGAGAGAGAGAGAGAGAGAGAGAAGCAAAACTGACTTTGCCAGGACTTCTAGGGAGTGTCTCCAAAGAACCAAAAATGTCACATTTTTTCATGGGCATTTTTCTTTTTGCACAGCAAGGGAGAGAAAGGAAGCAGTTGACAATCTCAGAGCCAGAGAACATGGGGCATCTGTGGCCCTCCAGGCTGTTATAGACTCCAATGGGGGGAAGTGTGGTTTAGTAGTTAGAACACTGGACTGGGACTGGAGGTTTCGAATCCTTGCCCCTCCACTGCTCCCTGCTGAGCCCTGAAACTCACCCACGGGGATGTTGGGAGGGTGGGTAGGTGGCCGCCGGTTCTCTCAGCCTAGCCTACCTCACTGGGTCGTTGTGAGGACAGCAGAGATAACCATGTAGGCCGCCTGGAGGAAAGATGGGACATCGTTGCCCCTAACCATTGGCCCTGCTGGCTGCAAGCAGAGCGGTGGCTGGGTCCCAAAAAGTCACCCAGTGAGCTTCATAGCCAAGCAGAAGATTTGAACCCCAGTGCCTCCCAGGTCCTAGTCTGGCAGTCTAACCACTAGGCCACACTCCCTCTCCACCTTCCTGCTTAAAGCAGCCCTTAATTGGGGACCTATGTTACTGCTTAAACCAGCTCTCTTTTTAGAACTGTGAACCTGGCTTTGCATCGCCATTAGCCTCACCGTAAATTTAAGGCGCCCCCACCAAGAATCCTGGGAACTGTAGATTGTTAAAGGTGCTGGGAACTGCAGTATTCTCAGGGTTCTGGAAACCATAGCCTGCCAAGGGGTCTGGGAACTGCAGTTTCTTCGGTGATCTGGGAACAACAGTGTGCCAAGGGAGCTGGGAACTGTAGTTTAAGGGTGCTGGGACCTGTAGCTCCCGGGGTGTGCGTGTGCACCCGTTTGCTTTAAACACAATCCCGCAACCCAAAAGAAGGTTCATCTTGAGGACTACACTCTTGTGCACTGAAATGAAACTGCAAAACCTCTTCTCTCTCTCCTTTCCCACAGCGGAATTGGGCGACGTCCGCTTGGGGACCCAACCCTCTCCAATGTCTGGGCCCTGATTCAGAGCTTAGGAATTTGCATCTGATTGCTATTTTGTCATCCTAGGATTTGTCTCTCCAGCCTTAGGCACCCAGCGACCCAGCAGGAGGTGGAGGAGGTGGCAAGGAGCCCCAGCCAGTCGCTTGTCAAAAGAAACTTGCAGATGGGAGCCGGAGCAAGGAGGCTGCGCTGAAACCAAAGAAGGGAGGCGCAGCTTCCACACGCGCAGAACAAGGGCAAAAGGCGACAAACACGGAATGACCTCAACCTGGTGGCTCAATAAGGACCGGTCTCTTGGAGAGGGATTTTTTTGGGGGGAGGGGAGCCCGCTTGGATCACCTGTTTGGGCCTGCGTAATTTTTTAATTTCAGCATGGAAGGAAAGAGAGGGGAAATGAAGCTGTTCCAGCCACTGCCTTTTCAAGGTAAGACCTTCTTGGTCTTTTCTGGGTCTGGGTTAAAGGCGGATCTACACGGATCCTCATGGATCCTCCACTTTTTTTTAAATAACTCCAACAAATGCAGTGTCAAATCACACCTGGAAGGCACGCCTACAGACTGGACTATCAAAAACGTGGATCCAACACTTTGCCGTACTGTAGCACCACAAAAACATGGATCCGAGGCATGGATCCTCATGAATTCATATTATTTTTATATTGAAACAAAATGAAAAACACCATGATACTGTAGACCACATCTTAGTCTGTAGGCAGAACCAAAAAAATCACGCATCCAATGTTTCTTGGTGCCGCAATGGCCCAGAAAAATGGTTAAAAAACACAGATCCTCATCGATCCTCATGATTTTTTCACTAGATCAGCCCAAAGTCACCATCAGATCAAACATCATGGCCATGTGCACAGCATCCACCACAAAAAGCTCGGATCCACGGCTTCCTGGCCATACCGTGGCCCAAAAATGTGGATCCTCATGGATCCTCAAACCTTTTGCATTGGGCCACCCCTAAATCACTGTCAAATCACACATCATAGCCAAGAGCACAGCCTACACCACAAAAAACTCAGATCCATGGCTTCCTGGCCATACCGTGGCCCAAAAACGTGGTTTTGAAGCATGGATCCTCATGATTTTTGCACTAGATCAGCCCAAAGTCACTGTCAAATCACATGTCATAGCCAGGGGCACAGCCTGCACCACAAAAAACTTGGATCCACGGCTTCCTGGTCATACCATGGCCCAAAAATGTGGTTTTGAAGCACGGATCCTCATGGATCCTCTCCCTTTTTTCATTGAGCCAAACCAAACTCACCATCAACTCACACATCATGTCCAGGGGCACAGCCTGCACCACAAAAAATCTCTGAAGCACGGATCCTCATGGATCCTCAGGCTTTTTGCGTTGGGGAACCCCAAATTCACCCTTTATTCAGATATCTTGTACATAACCACAGATCTGACCACAAGCATCATGGATCTACTGCTTCGTGGCCCTGGCCAGATGCTACCCTGGATATATTGGTCAATTTTTAGGTGGGTGTGTTGGGATGGAGGAAACGGAGTCGGCTGAATCTCTATCCAACAAAGATGGGGGTCCAATGGCTGGGTCAGAATGATTTTGGTTCAGTTTGCCAGCTCCCAGCTCTTCATGGGGTGCAAAAGTCACCTGTAGCCGCCATCAGGAGTCCCGGTGTGATCCTGGATGCTTCTGTCTCTATGGAGGCATTGGTCACAAATGTAGCCAAACTGGCATTTTTTAATCTATGTCAGGCTAGGCGATTGGTACCGTACCTGTCCCTTTCCAACCTAGCCATGGTGATCCATGCAGTAGTCACCTGCAGACTAGACTACTTTAACTTGCTCTACACCTGAGCCGGGGAGGGCAGGGTATAAATGCGATAGAGAGAGAGAGAGAGAGAGAGAGAGAGAGATGCAGGGCTACCCTTGAGACTGCTCCAGAAACTCCAAATGGTCTAAAATGCAGGTGCATGAGTTCTTACTTGGACTTTGTGAAGAGCCCACATTCAGCTGGTTGTTCATCAGCTGGATTGGTTCCAGGTGGAGTATCAAATCAGGTTCAAGGTTTTGGTGCTAATCTTTAAAGCCCTAAACAGTGACCTTTCTTATCTGTGGGAATTATCTTCCAATACACCCCCCATGAGTGTGATGCTCATCTAACAGCAACCTACTGGTGGTCCCTGGCCCAAAACCTATCCAGCTGTCCTCAACCAGAGCCAGAACCTTTTTGGTGGAACGCTTTGTCTAATGAGACCAGGGCTCAGTGCAATCTATCTCACTTCTCTCACTTGTCATGGTGAGTGGGCTTGCACATTCCTTTGACCCTTGTGAGCGAAGCCGTCGGGAATCTCGTACTCCCAGCAGGGTCACCCAAGGCAGTAAGGTCAAAGATAATTAAATATGCTCAGAGTCCTGTAGTGATTTCATGCTCTTTATTGCAGCTTGTAAAACAGTGACTGAAATTTCCCCCAAACCTCAGGCTTTTATATACATTATTTACACAATGAGTCCCGTCTGATTGGCTGATTCTGCTTCCCTCCTGGAGCCTGATTGGTCTTTTCCTGCAAGCCAATCAGTTCTTGCATTCTAGGATCCTACTTGCCTATTCTTCTAGGATCCAAGCTTAGTCCATAACAGGGAAGGAGCTAGACAAAGAATGAGCCAAGAAGTCCTCAATGGCAGAACAGGCGGATGATAACAAGCGGTGTGTTACAACAGCTGTGAAGGTGGATGAAGGCTGCAGCAGATAGGATCCACCAGTTCATCATGACTACTCATGCCATCAGAACAGAGCCCTACTGCAAAGACTGTACGTTGGTCAGCAAGCACTGATCTACACACATAAAACAAATTCACGCACAGGCGTCTTCCAAAAACCCAAGCCAAACCCCAACCCCCCCATGGCAATCAGCAAATGGCTACGGGGGCAGGAATGTGAAATCTGGAAGCCCCTAGCCATGAACCAACACATGGGCGGTGGATACAAATTCAGTCGTTCTGACTCAAGGAGTGAGGCAGTTGAGCAGCTCAGCAGCTGGATTCCTCCCGTACTCCCTGGCGAGGTCTGTCACACGCATTCCACCGTCGTGCTTCCGGATGATCTCCTTCTTCATTTCCAGCGTAACCTTCTCCTTCTTCCCCTCGCCGGCCTCTGCAGCAGCAGTCTTCTTGGGTCCCATGGCAGCACAGCTCCTACCTGCACAACCCCCAAAAAATCAGTGCTTCACATCCAAAAAATTCAAAAGCACCCAGCCACCCACCACACAGATATTCAAACCCAGAACCAAGTCCTTGAATTCTAAACACCCCAATCCAAAAACCCCCCAAAAAGTTCTAAAAGTTTAACTTACCGAATGGCTGAAAAAGAAGTTTTGGAAAAGCTTCAAAAATCACCAAAGTCTTCAAAAACCTCAACTATTCCCCCAGCCACCCACCACACAGAAATTGCAAACCCCTCCCCAACTGTTCCCCCAGTCACCCACCACACAGAAATTCAAACCCAGATATTTAAAAAACAAACAAACAACAGAGTGGCCCAATGGTCACAGAAAATCATAAAAATGCAGGAAAAACCACACAAGCTTCCAGATTCTTGCAAACCCCTCCCCAACTGTTCCCCCAGCCACCCACCACACAGAAATTCAAATCCAGAATTTTTTTTTAAAAAACAGCAGAGTGGCCCAATGGTCACAAAAAATCATAAAAATGCAGGAAGAAACCACAAGCTTCCAGATTCTTGCAAACCCCTCCCCAACACCAAGTCCTTGAATTCCAAACACCCCAACCCAAAATCCAAAACCCCCCCAAAAAAGTTTTAAAAGTTTAACTTACCAAATGGCTGCAAAAGAAGTTTTGGAAAAGCTTCAAAAATCACCAAAGTCTTCAAAAACCTCAAAAAAGGCTACCACACTGCGTGCTATGAGTTGCTCCTCGAAGTCAAGTCGCAACTGCACCTCTTCAAGCAATGCACCCTGGGTATTAACGGTTTTACGAAAAAGGAAACAAACTTGCAATACGTTTTCGTCTTGCGAAGCAAGCCCATAGGGAAATTCGTCTTGCGAAGCACCTCAAAAAACGAAAAACCCTTTCGTCTAGCGAGTTTTTCGTCTTGCGAGGCATTCGTCTTGCGGGGCACCACTGTAGAGATGAGCTTGCTGTATCTCCAAATCTGGGAGAGCTGTGTACAGCTATTAACCAAGTGAAAAACAACAAAGCCAGTGGACCTGATGGGATACCTGCTGAAATCTTCAAAGTGGGTGGAATTGAACTTACACAACAACTTCACAAGCGCATCAAAAAACTCTGGGAGAGAGAAGCGATCCCAGCAGACTTCAGGGATGCCAAAATTATCAATCTCTTTTTAAAAAGGTGACAGAACTGATTGCGGAAACTATCGAGGCATCACTCTATTAGCTGTGGCCGGCAAAATTCTTGCAAGGATCTTAACAAACCGTCTCTTAACATTATCCGAGGTGACCCTTCCTGAATCCCAAAATGGTTTTCAGCCTTCTAGGGGGACAGTGGACATGATTTTCACAGCTCAGCAACTTCAGGAAAAATGCAGAGAGCAAAACCAACCTTGGTATTCACACCATGCCGCCAGCTCTAGTGGTGCATCCAGCACCTCAGGGGGCCCCCTTGCTTGCTTATGAGAAGAACTGGCTCTGCATTCCATACAAAATGTTGTTGTGCCTGCTGTTTTCTGCAGAGACTGAAGATTCCTTCCCCCAGGTTTTGGCCCTGCTCAAGAACCAGTTAAGCACTTCCATGCCCCATTCATTTAAACTGCTGAATAAACTTGGCCCTTCCATGAATCCCATTGAAATCTATAACATTATTCAGTTGTGTCTCAGCATATTTATGGGAAATGTCACTATTACAAAGAGTTTGGAAGAAGAGTTTGGACTTGATATTCCACCTTTCACTCCCCTTGAGGAGTCTCAAAGCAGCTAACAATCTCCTTTCCCTTCCTTCCCCCACAACAAACACTCTGTGAGGAGCTGCATGTGGAGGAGCGGGGAAGCGAACACAGCTCACCAGATTACGAGTCCACCGCTCTTAACCACTACACCACACTGGCTCAAAGACTAATAGATGGCAGCTATACATAACCTTTAGCTTAAAAAATAGCAACAATATCTATCTAATGGAACAGTGCAGCGTACTAGCTAGTGTCATAGAATCATAAAATCATAGAGCTGGAAGAGACCGCAAGGGCCATCTGGTCCAACCCCCTGCCATGCTGGAACACACAAGCAAAGCACTCCTGACAGATGGTCAGCCAGCCTCCACTTAAAAACCTCCAAAGAAGGCGACTCTACTACTCTCCGAGGTGGCATATTCCACTGTCCAACAGCCCTTACTGACAGAAATTTCTTCTTAATGTTTAGGTGGAATCGCTTTTCCCATAGTTTGAATCCATTATTCTGCATCCTAGTCTCTAGAACAGCAGAAAACAAGCTTGCTCCCTCTTCAACATGACATCCCTTCAAATATTTAAACATGGCTATCATGTCACTCCTTAATCTTCTCTTCTCTAGATTAAACAAATCCAGCTCCCTAAGTCTCTCCTCATAGGGCTTGGATTCCAGACCTTTTACATTTTGGTCACCCTCCTCTGTGTTGATTTATAGCAGAGTCTGTCGTGCCCAGCGGAAGGATGAGCAGTACGTGCTACATACTC